GTTATAATAATTTCGCGAATATCTACGAAAATAAACAGAGATTTACGAAAATATATGCAAAAATTTTCGAAAATAAATGGAGATTTACGAAAATATATGTAAAAATTTTCGAAAATAAATGAAACAAAAAATTCTAGAGATTTACGAAGGTGTCATATAACTCCAAAAATTTAACAAGGCAAAAATTTTCGAAATATTTCACCTTTAAAAATTTCCTGATGAAGCTCTGTACAGCAATAATAACTTTCTTTTGGTCAATACGAAAAGGTCAATTAAGAAAATAATGATCATTTTTACCTAGACAGCTCCAGTCATTCCATATTCCTAAACGAGTATGTACTTCTTTACATATTAGACATTTAGCTTCTGGATCTGTATATTCAAAAACATCTCAGTACCATACATTCGATTTAATATATTTCAAGAAAGGGAAGTGTTTATGTACTGCTTTATGGATTGTACTTTTCTCTTCTGGAAACTTGGAAATTTTGATGATACAGTCTTATGAAAGATAATTGCCAGCATCCTCTTCGATTTGTTTAGATTCAGAAGTTTCAGAGTTTATCCAGGGGTCAAGCCCAGTTTTATTTTTATATCTATTATAGAACCTAGAATGAATTTTATCTGTCAAAATGCTTGGTAGTTCTAATTTGGCCTCCCACTTCAAATATTCGGGAGTTAATATTTTATGACTCGTAGAGTCAACCCTAAAGGGCCTGGTATTTGTTTGTGTATTCATGTTTCCGTTTTATATGATTTTATTCCTTTAAATTAATAATCGACAAAAAATAATTTACATCAGAGAAACTTTAAAAACTTAAGTGAATTATACAAGTCTGAGACCTCTATGCTCTGCATATTAACATAAGATAAGGATTATACTGTTATTTCGATTTTAATTTCACGCTGTTCACATTTAATAAAATATGATCTATTTTTATATCTGCCTTCTATACCTTTATCCTCATAATGATCCGACTTGCATAGTGGGCATAAAGATTCATCTGTAATTCCATAATAATCATTGTTTCCATCTCTGCCTTTCCAATATAAATCAGAATATTGTTCTTTCATTTTATTACGGAAATAGGCATGATCATGAGTTGGGTTAAATGATTTGATTTTGGAATTTTTTTTTTGAAATGGCTTTGATTCAGTAGATACGGTTTCCGGTAAAGATTTGTTATCCTCACTTATTATATCTCCCAAATTAGACATATGAGACAGTGAGATAGAGGGGGCAGATGTTTCTGAGCTTGGAGAATTGGTAATAGAATTTTGACAGGAGCCTCCAGCTGAAATTTCAGGAGTCGAAGACCTATCCTTTTGCATCTTTGAAACTTGTTCAGTAATACTATCTATAATTTCTTGAATTTTATCATTAGGTAACTCTGAAATAGAATTCGCACTATAAGTCATGATATATTTAATTTTGTCTATACCTAAGTTTTCAAATAATTTGTATATTTTTATAACTTTCTGAATTTTCCCTTACAAGTATTTACGTGAAATTTCTGGGAGTTGTAAACCTGTGTCTTCAGATCTTTTTTTACGGAGAATGGAAAGATGTTTCAATATTTTATTATAGATTATTCCCTTTGCCTTTTTTTTGCCGATTTTACCTTTACTATCTTGTATAACCACTCTAACCTGAATTAAGAATCCTTTTCCATAATAATACCAGCATAAAATCTCTTCCTGATTAGCACGAATTGTGCCATATTCAGCATCAGTTGCTTTATCGAATAATTGAGCTAAAGAAAGTGTAGATGAATCTTGGCAGGAAGGCCCAGCTGGATTCTCATCACAAGGAGTGGTTTTGACTCCTGATTGGGCATCATCCTGAATGCTGTCAGCTATCAACTGTACAATTTTTTCTGCACCTTTCTTCCTATGACTATTTTGGCAAGGGGCCCCAGTTGAAATTTCAGACTTTCTGAATTCAGTATTTCTGGATAACGAAGTTGAAGGAACCGGCGCCATCTCTCCTGATGAAAGATTGTCTGAAGATAAGTCTTGATCTCGAAGCTTCTTCTCCTTAATGCTCTAAATTATCTCGTTACTAACCTTTTCTTTATACTTTGAATCCAGGAATTCATCGACCTCCTAATCTTCCAATGATTTACGAGTCTCCAACTTCTGACATACGTCGGAACTTGAAGCATTATCAGATATATCAAATATTGGGGTATCATCACGTTGTGAAACTATTTGTTCAGGAGCATCATCAGAATTCATTCTACAAGAAGCATTGATACTAGTTAAAGATTGTTCTTTTGGAATGAGTGTACTTACCTGTTCGATTTCCTTGGTATCGTCATCCAATTTAGCAATATGGTTGCTCTTTTCTTCATCATTTTGCAATTGCTTCTGTTCTAATTTCGCAACTCTAGCTTTAAGCTCAGCATTTTCAACAGCAGTATCTTTATCGTTCTGCTCCAGTTTCGCAAATCTGGATTCATGTTCTTCCAAAGCTTGTTTTAATTTTACGTTCTCAGCTTTAAGTTCGATGTTCTCAGCCTCAACTTCGGAAAATTTTTTCCTAAGTTCAGGAATCTCGGCATTCTCCTTTCTAAGTTCAGTAATCTCGGATGCAAGCCTAGAGTTTAATTCTCTCAAGGTATTGATTGTTAGTTGATCGTTTTATTACAAAATAGGATATATTCAAAAGGTTAACCACACAAAAAATATTAATAAAAATCGCATTAACATGCTTTGCTTTATTGATTGTAAAAAGTCAAAAATAATCAAATCTATCTATTATTTATATACTATTGCATACACTATTGCCTAAACTATCTAATATTAACATATTATCTCAATATTAATTATAATCTGGTTTCACCTGTTATCGGTATTCTGAATAGTTATATCTGTACGAAACGTGCACTGTCAGAATGGACAAACTATCGGTTATCTAGCAGTAAACTAATTTATCTTTTTTCGAACCTGAGAGAAAAGCCCGCCGGAAGTTTACGTTTCCCGTCTTTTCGATGCTAATAAATTTCTCGGAAATATATACGAAAGAATAGTGAATAGTTTGCAAGCCAGAGGTTGATTCATTGAAATGAACTGTCACAACCGAAATATTCCTACCTTATTTGCGTGTTCGGAACTTTCGCCAAAAATAAAATCAATTATTTCTGGTTGCAGGATCTGATCGAAACCAATATACAAACACTTTAAGAAATCTTCGAAACTTTACTTCGACGAAATTTGTTATGATATAGTAATTCGCGCTCGTGAGCCTGGAGAAAATATCTGACCAGCAACAGTTAAAAATTTTACAATGTAGCTGTTGCGATAGTACTACAGTTGATATGAAGTAGAGAGAGCCATTTTTTACCATGTATAAAGGCCTAGGATCTCGGCAGGCATGGTTACATGCTTTATTCCTCCCTCTTTGTCCCTACTCTTCATGGTTCTATCTATATATGCCTTCCTTTGTAATTTCCCGTTAAATATCAATTCAAAATTTAAATGCAACATCATGTGAGCGCGTTAATTTTCCGTGTTATAAAACGCGTTTATCAAAATTTTGATTCGTAAAATACGCTATGTACGCTTCCGACTATTTTAATATAACACCGCCTAACCAATATAGTTTTCTTGGGTTCTATCAACATCGGTCTAAACAAAATGATTTTAAGTTTTCATTTCGCAAAGAAGCAAATATTTTACGCAAAAGTCTAAAAGCAATATTAAGTAATAGTAGTAACTCAGAAATAATTGAAAGTGCTAAAAGTCTCGAGGAAAGTTTTGAGGTCTGTGAAAATCCATGTGGTTTTGGTCTTTTTTTTTTGTAATCGTAACTGGAAAGGCAGTATTAGAAGGTTCTCAGAGTCTGAAACTCACACAACTACGGCGGACTCCTTACGTGCAGTCTACCTTATGACCTTACGTGCTCGTTGTGGTCTACAAAAAAGTAGTATGGGAAGCTTCCAGTAGTTCTAAGAACTCCAACAACTACAGTGGGCTCCTTGCGTGCAGTCTACTCTATGACCTTACGTGCTCGTTGTTGTCTGCCTTGCCAGTGTCTCTTTATCGTAATACTTTTCATCTTTACCATTTTACATGTTCCTTGTAGAATCACCGAAACAAATTCCGGAAAGTTGACAAATTCTGGAACGATATTGAAAACGGATGTTTACATGAAGAAATCTTTAGAGAGGAGAAGGGTTTGCATTTAGATGAGGTAAACATTTGTTCTTATTGCTATTTAGATTGATACGATTAATAATGAATTTGTATTCTAGTTGAAAATGGCTCGTGTGGTAACTCAAGGGACTTCGAAAGCAACTGCAACAGTAATGGAAAATGTCGATATAAGACTGGTATGATTAATTTTAATGTTGTATGGTCAATAATAGAGTAGTCGATTTAGTCATTGTTCCTTTTGCAGAAGTCTAATCGAAAACATAATTTACCCGATACATCCAAACGTACTGATGAAATCAAAGATGAAACAGCTAAAAGGGTTAGTATAAAACAAATTTATGTTTAACTAGCAGAAATATTTCTCATATTGCCTACTTTTGTATTTGGCAGATCAAAGCAACCCAAGACCCATCATTTAATTTGGAAGAAAGTGACGAACAAAATAATGGGATTATGAAGGTATCAAATACCTTTTATGTTATTATAACTATATATATCTTGTTAACCGAGAATATGTTGTTTTTTATGACTTCCGTAGGAAGAAAGTCAGAAAGCAAAAAATTATGATGAAAACATTTCATCAGCTGACGAATCGGATTTGGAATATCCAAGAGAACAGATGAATGTAAGCAATAAAAAAATACATCGTGATTCTGATTAAAAAATTACTGTTGTTTAACCTAAAATTTTCACAGGACGAATTAAATTCCGTGATATCATCTATCTATGAGGACGAAGATGAAGAAAATTCTTTAGATGGCAGTTCTGATGAAGAAGATACAGCCGAACTTGCAGATGTGTCATTTAATTCTTTCGTTGGTTCAAAAACTGATAACAAAAATTATAATTGGAAATTAAAAAATAATGAAAGCGTAAGAGGTCGTCTTATAAATAGGACAAAAGAAGCGATTGAAGAAGCAAAAAAAACCGAAAAAGTAGACTCGAAACTAATGAGTGTTATAAGGTAAATATGATAATAATAATATTGTTAATGGTACTTTTGTAATTTATTAATTACTTTATAAATGTATGTACAGATTGGGACTTTCATCCATCATAGATCTTTCGTCGGAATTTAAAGGAGGCATGCACTCCTGGTTCGGGGACAATTGGATACCATTAAAGAATGAAGTATTATCAAAAATTAACTTGAAAGTTGAAAGGTTCACAGGAGAAGTATCAGAATTAATCACAAAAGTAGAAAATGTAAATAAACTATATTATCTGTCGAAAAACTATTATTACCGAATGTGATAACAAATTATGCTTTTCACTACATTATACATTTAGCTATGTGATTCATATGACTATTTGGGGGCACGAAAACTTGTATTAGAAAAAGTGATGGAACGACCCATTGAGAGTCAAATGAGACAAGTTTCTAAAATATATTTTAATATGTATGTTTATTTTATATATATATTTTTTGTGATCCTTTTTTTTATTTGCTATTCACCAAATTAAGTTGAAAATTTATTTTTTCAGCATTGATTTATTTTTAGAAAATCCCTATATTTTCATCAAAAGAGATGGTCGGCCTCAAAACCATACAGAAATCCAATATGTAATGATTTTATCAGGTCCTATTTTAGACATAATATTCTCAGATCAACGAGATTATGTTAGATTAATATGGTAAATATTTTTATTAACTTGGAAACGGTTATTAATTGTGGATCTGACAAATTGTTTTACAAATTTTTCAGGGGAGAATCAGTTTCACAAGTCACTAATGATTCAAGAAGAAAAATTGATCTTTGTATAAGAACGGAAGATGGTACCAAAGAATTGAGCCATTCCGAATGTGCTCGGGAAGCTACATTTATAAAAATTTTAAAAGACCGCAGTAAATCTCTGAGAACTAATAAATGTATACTCAATAACTTCCTTGAAAGCAATATTCTTGACGAAGCTTTAGAAGATACAGCAATTTTCGGATTGCAGTTGGCAGGTAAAATTACAGCATCATTAAATATCACGCATTATACATATTTCTTAGAATTTATCATTTTCACGTCTCTAATAATATATGTTTTAGCTTTGGAAGGTCAATTAATTGGAATTGATTTATTGGATGAAGGACTTTATTTTGGATTTAATGGACCAGCTTTTAGGTTTCCCGCACAGATATGCAGTATTGGTGTCTTAAGACAAACATTAGAGGTTTTTTATTATTTTAAGGTAGGCAAATTTGATCTTTTTTGAAGTCCTATGCTTAGTGATTATAAAAATGCTTATAAAGACTCTATGGATAATAGGAGAAAGTCATCAAAAAAGCAAAACATTTACTTCAGAATTCAAGCGAAAATAAGATTACCAAACTTTTACATTCCGAAAATATTGAGAGGTCAAATCACTACAAAATCAATTAAATCGGGAAACTTATTTTGAACCAAAACAAAAATCTTTAGTCAACGAATCCAAAAATTTGTATGCTAAATTTAAAAACAAATAGTGTTCCATTTATTCTAACTACGAAAAATATGTCTTGATTTATTTGTATTTTTGAAATAAAAAATTACATGTGCGTTACAATTTGTAATGCCGATCACTTTTGGCAAAATTCACTCACAGTGAAATTGATCAACAAAAATTAAAATTGCAAAAAGCGGAAAAATTACTTGCAAGTCTGAAGTCCCATTAATAAGTATAGTCATA